GAGAGAGAGAGAGGGAGACACAGAATCCGAAGCAGGCTCCAGGCTCTGAGCTGTCAGCACAGAGCCCGATGTGGGGCTCAAACCCACGAACCGTGAGATCATGACCTGGGCCGAAGCCAGACACTTAACCGACTGAGCCACCCAGGTGCCGCAGTGTATCTTTTTTTTTTTTTTTTTTAATGTTTATCCATTTTTGAGAGAGGGAGAGAGAGCGAGAGCGAGCGAGCAAGCTGGGGAAGGGCAGAAAGGAGGGAGACAGAGGATCCAAAGCAGACTCTGGCCCGATACAGGGCTTGAACTCATGAACTGCAAGATCGTGACCTGAGCTGAAGTCAGATGTTTAACTGACTGAGCCACCCAGGAGCCCTTCAAGTATTAATTCGTATGGAATTGTATGTATCAGAAATACCCAGGGCCCCTTGACAAAAAGGCACGTGCTCAATACTTCCCCTCCCTGTCCCATAGTGGATTCTCTTGTCCCTGTGCTCAGCTGTCTCAGCCCAAGGAAAACATTGCTCCATCTTTCTTTCTTTTTTTTTTTTTTAATGTTTTATTTATTTCTAGGAGAGAGAGAGAGAGACAGCGTGAGCAGGGGAGGGTCAGAGAGAGAGGGAGTCACAGACTGAAGCAGGCTCCAGGCTCCGAGCTGGCGGTCAGCACAGAGCCCGACGCGGGGCTCAAACCCACGAACCGCGAGATCATGACCTAAGCAAAAGTCGGACGCTTAACCGACTAAGCCACCCAGGCGCCTCGCTCCATCTTTCTTAAATGAGACAGGATCACCAGGTTTAGAAAGGAGATCTCCAGAAAGAAAAGGCATTTCTCATTCAGACACGGCGTTTTAGGAATAGTCTCAGACAAACAATGTCTTTCAAATAATACGTGTGCCCTGGCTTTTAATATGAACCATTTTGGGCAACGAAAACAGAAATATTCAAGGTTTTTTTTTTTTGTTTTTTTTTTTTTTAAGCTTTTATTTAAGTAATCTCTCTGCCCTACATGGGGCCCAGACTCCAGACCTAGAGATCAAGAGTCACGCTCTCTTCCGGCTGAGCTGGCCAGGCGCCCCCAGCAGTATTCAGGCTTTAAAAACCAAATGAAGTGGTCAAGCTCTTATCAGAGCTCTGCTTCCGTTTTCAAATGCACCTTTTCCTCCTCATACTCCTTGTCGGCAGGGACCAGTCATGGCACTGAGCCCTGAGTAGTGTGCGTATGTCTTGGGATTTAATTCACTAGGTGTGTTTTGGACTGCATGTGTCTTGGGCAAGGCTTTGGGCAAGAATGTCAGACTACATTTTCAAGTTAACGCTGTTTAGAAATGCCAAGAGAACAAGGAGTGCATTCAGGGCTGTGTGGGCAAAAGTGACCTACTGGGAGGGCTGCTTTGCAGCAGAGGGGAAGACCACTTTGCCAAGCATTAGCCAAGTATCTACCTCGTTGTCATCCTTCACACAAGGCAGGCCTTTTGCCATTAGGCAAAGTCTTCCTGGAAAGACCTCTCTAAAATCAAAGTGGACTCGGGGGCGCCTGGGTGGCTTAGTCGGGTAAGCGTCTGACTTTCGCTTAGGTCATGATCTCGCGGTTCGTGGGTTCGAGCCCCGTGTCGGGCTCTGTGCTGACTGCCAGCTCAGAGCCTGGAGCCTGTTTCAGTCTGTGTCTCCCTCTCTCTCTGACCCTCCCCTGCTCATGCTGTCTCTCTCTCTGTCTCCTAGAAATAAATAAAAACTTTAAAAAAAAATTTAAAACCAAAGTGGACTCTTTTTTTAGTAGGTATTGATTGCCAAACAAATATTCCAGTGTTCTGGTGTAGACAGGTCTCCATAAAGTCCTGCTGAGGGCCCCTGGTGGCTGGGAAATGGGCAGAGTACACGGGCCACGCTAGGCCTTTTAGATGCGCCAGTGTATATGTGGAAACGGTGCTGTGTGCATTCAGCAGGCTGTTGGTAACTTTTATCGCTGTTATCCGTCTTTGCAAGGTGTCTCCTCAGTGCAAAATTCCTGTGGGTCAGCTTAAACCCCTCAATGTCTAGCACCTTCCTAAATGTTTCCTGCTGTCTCTGAATTTTCTGGCTTCAGAGGTGTGTGTGTGTGTGTGTCTGTGTGTGTGTGCGTGCACGCACGTGCTTGCGTACTGGGGGTGGGAAAAAGGAGTACTTTTTCTTGGATTTAGCTTATTTTGATAGCATCTAATAAGCGGCCCCTTTATTTATTATACATGTGAACCCTGTTAAGATTCGGTGAACAGAGATTATTTTCCAAACTCGTGAATTGTTTTGCCTTGGAAATTCAGCGCATACCCCAATGGACTCTTTACAGGCATTTGAAAACCAGCATGTGATGAATATTAGCCTGTGACAGTCTTAAAAAGTGGCTGCTCCCTTATTATAATTCATTCAAATAGCTCTGCATGTCTTAAGTTCTCATTCTGAGCGGTCCAATTAATTTTCTGTGTGGGGCGTGAGTGTGATGGATTATTTAATGCAACCGCAGCAAGTACTCTACTAGTTGGGGTTCTTCATATCATTTCACACGTTAGGACTATATTGGGGGGAAATCCTCATCCCTGAAACCTGGAGACAACTGGGTATCTCTTGGTTAATTATGTGTCTCAGCACCAAAGGCCTGCTGTGAACTCGTTAAGCCAGTGAAGAGGGAGTTTTGTTTTTGGTTGTAACAAAGCTGTTTGCAGAAAACGGAGCCTTAGCAACCTTCTTCTTTGACTAATGAGATCTAAGATATTCTACAGCTCCTAAACTCTTATACACAATCCCCCTTCCACCCACCCACCCCTGACTTTTTGTTAGATTTATCTCTTGACCAAATGTTTCAAAAATGCCAAAAGAAACTTTTAGCAGTTTCTGGATGAGGAAGTCGTTTGAAGATCGTTTCCCTTCTACCTTCTCTAAATTGTCTTTTAATACCGCATACCCCTTTTGTGTATGGCAGTAACATTCTCCCTACTTGTTAATTGCCAGGAAGGAAGAACAATCAGGAATATATACGCTTATGTAATTATTTGCGTACGTGCAGTTGACAATCCTAGTTTAGTCTAATTAAATTCCTTAACTCCAGTTTACCTGAAAGCCCCACCTCCCCAAGGCCACTTTGGCATCTCTCTTAGGTGAAGACTTAACTTCTTCTCAGCACAGGCAGCCAAGAAGCAGCAATGGCCAACTCATGGGCTCGTTTATTTCCCATGACTGGTGGTGTTTGATCTGCTCTTCTTTCTACAGCCCTTTATTTATTGTACAGACTTCCCATTGACAAGTGCATGTCTTCAGTATACTCAATTCCTGAGTTCCTGAGATCTTGATTTTTTTTCCCCAGACCTCTCATCTTGTGTGGAACACGGACAGCACTAGCAGAAGGAACAGTGGCAGTGAATCCTTGTAAACCTCTGTAAAAATTAAATCACACCAATTGGTGGAGCGAGTCAAGGGATAGTACCTGTTCGGGATTAGTTTTCGATGACACTGCATCTCTTGGTCATTAGGAGGGAGAGCTATGATCTCTGCCAAACACATTTTTGTTCTGTGGCTGAAGGAACAAGGTGTGGGTGAACTTTGGGGTCTATTTAAAAAAAAAAAAAAAAAAAAAACTTCCATGGGTACCTGGTGGCTCAGTTGGTTAAGCGTCCAACTCTTGATTTTGGCTCAGGTCATGATTTCAGAGTTCCCAACAGTTTGTGGGTTCACGCCCCACATCTGGCTCCACACTGATGGTGCAGAGCCTGCTTGAGATTCTCTCTCTCTCCTTCTCTCTCTGCCCCTCCCCTGTATGCACGTGCTCTCTCCTAAAACAAATAAACTTTAAAAATAAAAGCCCTCCTGGAGTGCCTGGGTGGCTCAGTCGGCTAAGCGTCCGACTTCAGCTCAGGTCATGATCTCATGGTTCCTGGGTTCGAGCCCTGTGTCGGACTCTGCTGACAGCTCAGAGCCTGGAGCCTGCTTCAGATTCTGTGTCTCCCTCTCTCTCTGACTCTCCCCTGCTTACACTGCCTCTTTCTCTCTCTCTCTCAGAAATAAATAAAAAACATTAAAAAAAATAAATAAAAGCCCTCCAAATCCTCCCGTCCTAACCACAAACAGAACCAGGTTGCAATCCGGGAAGGAGGTACTCTGTGCATCGAGCTGCTTGTGGAGTGATGTGTCTTTGGCATTTCTCTGGACTCTCAGGGTTGCATCACTATATAAAGATTACTTTTATCAGAAGCCATTAGTCTATATTGGGATGAGTAGCTACACATCCCAGTATCATAAGGTCATACAACGTTTAACAATTCCACAAAAGGTGCTGGACAAGAAAATCTGAAGTTTGAGGATCACTTACCATAACCTTTTGCGACTTACCATGGCCTGAAGTTACCCAGGAACTCCCCTTCTTTCCTCTTGGTCAACAACCCCTTGAAATCCACTTACCCTTTGCTTCTCCGTATAACTCCTGCTGGTATATTTGCTCAGGTTTTGGCTGTCATGTATTTTATAAATCATTCTTCATTAAGGGTACCCCCTCTTGGCATGTAAACTCCCAAAAGCTGGAGAAACTTAATGCCTCATAGAATCTTGAAAGTTCATAGTTTATAAAAAAGACTTGGGTTGGTATTGAATGATACCGTTTGTTGGCCACACTGATTTTCCTATGGTGTAGCAATCTTCTTGATTCAAATGTTTTTGTCTTTTGTAGGTGGCTTTATTATTTTCGCTTTCCCATAACAGAATGGATGTTTTTCATTTATTTTTTAAAGTAAATTCTACCCCCCTATGTGGGGCTTGAACTCAAGACCCTGAGATCGAGAGTTGCGTGCTCTACCCATGGAGCCAGCCAGCTGCCCCCGTGTTTTTAGTTTAGTAAAACTTTTCAGATCCATATGATGCCTAGGCCTTTGCAGGAACCGCACAGGTGGAAATGAAGCAGAGTGTGTGCACTTGAGCCAAACTCTCTTCCCTCTTGGACTTGATGAATGATAATGGAGCTTGATTGTCCTACATTTTATCTTCCAGGTGATCATTTGAAGATCTGTCCTCAGGGTTATACCTGCTGCTCTCAGGAGATGGAGGAGAAGTACAGCCTGCAAAGTAAAGACGATTTCAAAAGTGTGGTCAGCGAACAGTGCAATCATTTGCAAGCCGTCTTTGCTTCCCGTTACAAGAAGTTTGATGGTAGGTATTGGAACTCTGGTCCAAGTAAGCATCAGTCTGTGCTTTGTTCTTGAATTGATTTCATACCTTTTATTCAAGTCACATTTTAGAGGTGACAGTTCAGTTTGTCCGAGTGCTTTTTCAGAGCTCCTCTGTCTTCTCCCAAGGCATTCTCCTTATTGGATTCTAAGGGCGAGTTAGCCCTCCAGCATCATTGCTAGAATCCTTCTGGATTCACTAGAATGTATATGGTAGGCATTATGGAAATATGGTCACAAGGAGCCAAAAAGGAGATTAACATAGTTTAATTTAAAGGCTTTCATTTATTTTCTTGGGTGAACACAAAATAGTGTTGTTGATGCAAGTCACTTAAAAAAAAAAAAAAAAAAAAAAACCTCCCTAATAAAAAGCAGGCATCTGAAAACTTACAATAACCAGAGAGATCCTGCAGATGCTAGATTTCCAATTCAGTTTCAAACTGGATTCCTCAGAGACCACTAGAATTCCTAGAAGCCCTGTGGTACACGGCTAGGATTAAAACCCAGCTCTTGGCTTTCTATGCAGTGATGACCCAGAAGTAGCCTACTATATTTATAATTGTTGTTAAGCTGGGCCTCATCCCTTAGCTGGCACTTCGGCATTGTCCATCTATGTACAGCCATGACCAAACCCATTTCAGTCCCTTGTGCCAAACATAAACTCATCTGCACACTCTCTTTCAATAGTGAAGAAATAGCCAACATGGTCCAAGTGAGAGGTGTTCCAATCATATCTGAAGCAATGTTACAGATAACAGACTTTAAGAAACTGTGGAGTATGGGATCCAAAACTCCTCAGGATTCTTTTCTCTGGTCCTCTTTACTCAGTTTGAAGATTATTATGAAGTAGCTTTAATTTTAATAGGAATGGTTTTCTTTGTGCCTGTTTTAAAGGCCATTCTAATTACATAGTACCTTTGAAGCATGCTTTTCTTGACATTATGTGTGGTGAAGAAGTACAAGGCAAATTTTCGAGATGTGAAATGTCTTTGAGTATTTCTGCAAAGGGCTTGTTACCATGGTGAGAAGTTGGATGAAATTAGATTTATATAGCTGATAAGGCAGTCCCTAGCTAAAGAACAGGTTGTATTTCAAATGTTGGCTTTGAGATTTGTTATTTGAAACTTATAACCGATTTAATAAGTGTTGGGTTCTCAGGCTAGACCATGAGAGCATATTTAATCTGTAATGTCGTTGCACTGATGTTTTCCCTACGTAGCATACCATTTCTCGTACCCATTTTACCGACAGTTGCTGTGCAAAAGTTGTGTTCAGTCTTAATTTTATCTCCCCCTTTTCCTAGATGGATGGAAGTGGTTTTATATCTCTATTTGTCCTGTTTATTAGTCCACACCCCACTCAATGCACACGTTGTAACTATAAAGAGAACTTAACAATATATGTTAACACCACACGAAGATGGGGGTTGATGGCAAAAGACGTCGTTAAGACCACCTTTGTCTCTTTTGATCACTAAATTATTAGTAAAATTATTAAAAAAGACTGGTGTTTGCTGGACTATGGCATTTCTCATTCAACACAGTAACCCAAGCATTTTCTTTAACTTTGAGGACAGTACCTAGAAAGATAATCAGATAACCATCTGTGAAAACTTGAGCTGCTGATAGGGGGGAAAAAATGACCCCGTGGGGTTTTATAATGGCATTTAACAGGAAAAAGCCCTGCCCTTTACAAATGCCTAGCCTGTTGCTAGCATGATGGAGTTGGAGATAAAGCGGTTTTCAAGGTTCCGCCACCTCCAAGTTGCCCCATTTCCTGTTAGACCTATCTCCTCCTGGCGTGGGGCCCACAGACATTAGTGACCTCTCTCACCTGCAAGCCTGCTGGTTTAGCTATTCTTTCCCCTTCTCGCTCCTCATGGTTTTATGGCATTATTCGTATGATCCCAGTGTGCAGTTTTTAAGAAGCCAGAGAAACACTACCAGTAAGTGTTAACATAATTTATTTTTTCAAAAAAGACAGAAAAACAGTTTCTCTTGACCTTCCCTACCAGGTTTCACATTCAATAAATGTTTTAATTATACTGTTTATCACTTCCAAAACTGGTTGTGAAAATGATTATGAAACTCTAGTTTGTTTCATCTGACTTCAGCTTCAACTATGGCATAGACAATAAAGGTAGTGAGAACAGATTACATTTCTTTTGAGGGAATAGTAGTTGAAATGTGTCTGGGGATCAGAACAGATCTGGGATACGTTGCCTATTTCCTCCAAGTTAGGTTTTCTGAGATAATGAAATGCTTTTGTATGGTAAAACTTCAGTTGACTGCTATCCAACAAACCATAAGCCTCACGGGGGTGGTGTGTTTGTTGATGGATTGATGTTTTTTAAAAAAATTTTTAATGTTTTGTTTATTTCTGAGAGAGAAAGAGAGAGACCGCATGAGCAGGGGAGGGTCAGAGAGAGAGGGAGATACAGAATCTGAAGCAGGCTCCAGGCTCTGAGCTAGCTGTCAGCACAGAGCCTGACGTGGGGCTTGAACCCACGAACCGTGAGATCATGACCTGAGCCGAAGTCGGACACTTAACCGACTAACCGACTGAGCCACCCAGATGCCCCGATGGATTGATTTTTAAGGATGCCGTTAGGAACTGCCAGCACTCCTTAGGCCTGAAGATAATAGTGATTAAAATCGTATAGGGGTTGTCTTGATGCTCAGAAATCCAAGGGCAGCGTGCTTTGCTCAAAGAATTGTCCGAGTCATTATAAAAGACAAGCCTCAGGTTCTTGAGGTGAAGGAAGCGAGGAGGTTGGACCGAGCAGTAAGATAGCAGCTGGAGAGCCATGGTGGGGCTGCAAGGTGGCGTAAAGAAGGTGAGGTTAAGTCCTGAGGAACTAGGAAAAGGGACACTTGCAAACCTCCAAGGTCAAGCAACTTCAAAGGAGTGTCTTTTGCCACGTCTAAGCTTACAGTATAAATTTAGGGGCGACTGCGTGGCTCGCTCTGTCTGACTTCAGCTCAGGTCATGATCTGGCAGTGCATGAGTTTGAGCCCCGCAGCGGGTTCTGTGTCGACAGCTCGGAGCCTGGAGCCTGCTTTGGATTCTGTGTCTCCCTCTCTCTCCATCCCGCCTCCACTCATGCTCTGTCTCTTGGTCTCTGAAAAATAAATAGTAAAAAATTAAATTGAAAGCGGTGACCCTACATGCAGGCAGCTTAAAACCTTTAGTCCTGTTTATGAGGATACCCACTTGTTTGTAAGATAGGAACAATTGCTTGTTATAAACTTTTCAACAAAAATAAGGTTTGTAGGCTTTTAGGGGATTAGCCTTCTTTAACCAGAAAACCATCCCATCGCCCCAAGTTTCCATCATTCCGCCTCGAGAAGCTCCAGAGTGCAGGTGCCAAATGTGGTGTTTCGAAGCCAGTTCCCTTATCCTAAAGGCTTTTTTTGTTCTCCATGTTTAGTTTTCTATTGTTTGCCCATCTGAAGAGGTTATACAGTCTGAAAATTCATTTTTTTTTAGAATTTATGTATTTAGTTTGAGAGAGGGAGAGAGAGGATTTATTTTGAAAGGGGGAGGGAGGGGGGAGAGAGAGAGATTGAGAGAGAGAGAATTGGAAGCAGGCTCCACGCTGTCAGCACACAGCCCGACACAGGGCTCGATCCCACGAACTGTGAGATCATGACCTGAGCTGAAATCGAAAGTCGGTCACTTACCCGACCAATCCACCCAGGCTCGGTAAATCCTATTTTATGTTGTAAACTGTGTGCGGGTTTATTTTTCTACATTATAATCTTCTCTATCTGCTCTTTAGCTTAGGATGTTCAGTACCAGAAATCTATTGTAGGCTAGACACCTGCAGCCGGGAAGCGACAGTGACAGAGCTGGCTGCTCCCCCTCTTGGCGAGTGCTAGGGGGAAAAAAAAAATTTTTTTTTTTTTTGGGGGGAAGAACTGCTAATTAACATAGCTGAATCGGCTGTCTCATGAATATGCTAATCAGATGCTCAGTTCAGGGGGCTTTGAAAGAATTGCCAAGCAGAGGAATAGAAGTAATGGAAGTGGGACATAATCCGTGTTTCGGGACCACAACATAAAGGCCCACCCTAAAATGTCGCGTTTTGTGAGAGACTGGTTGTTTTTAAAAGAAGCATAGTTCGGTCAAACAACCCAAATAGATTAAGAAGATTAGAGCTGCCGTGTTAAAGATATCTCTGAATCACATACTAAAAATGATGTTAACAAGTACACGAGTGTATTTTCGCCTAACTTCCCGAATCAAATGGTTCGCACGTTGAAGAAATCTTCAGGAAATAGGTTGTTTGATGCTAGTCTGTTGCGAAAACTCCGTTGATTCATCATTTTCGGAGCAAATAGAGTAACTCTGGGAGACGGAGCACACTCCGTTGTCAGCCTGGTTCTGCTGTGAACCCACTGTGACCGGGGGCAATTAACTAGGTCTCAGTTTTCCCATCCATAAAATGAGGGGGTTGAGCTGGATGTTCTCTAAAGACCCTTTCAATTCTAAAAATTCTGTGAATCTTCTGAACATGTGACTAGACCAGCTGCTTTAGTGAAAGGTCTTACAAGATGTTAATTAGCCGCCTGTCTGGTACCCTCTATTTTCCTGCTATGATTTCTTAACTCCACTACTTTCCCCAGGTCTTTGAAAACCCTCCCATGAGCCTGAAGCTTGTTAACGCGAATAATAGTAGAAATTTTCTGAATTAGCTTAAAACGCACATAAAAGAAATAATTGTCTGTCCCATCTATCTGCATGGGCCAAGTGCAAATCAAAGTGGCCAGCCTTTCTTTAAGCCCTCACGCCCCCTTGTTTTCTATCATTTCAACAAAGGCAGGACATGTTGCACTCTGCAGATTTAGCCAGATCTATGTTTTAATCACTGACTGGAAATTTCCCAGAGTTCATACTGGCTATCACTTCATTAGGCCAGTCAGAAAACCAGCGTGGAGGTGCAGGGAGTTCATGGCATTAGAATTCACATGCCCATTAAAA